GGACTGTGTGATGAGCTCGCCCCAGCCCTGCGGCACAAGGACACGAGAATGAGAGCTGCCCTGCCATTGGAGAAGCGCGTGGTGATTGCACTGTGGAAGCTGGCTACTCCAGACTGCTACCGATCAGTCGCTAACCATGTCGGAGTGGGAAAGTCGACCATTGGACTCATGTTGATGCAAGTGTGTAGGGCCATTAATCGCATCCTGCTCCAAAAGACCGTGACTCTGGGCAACGTGCGTGAGATTGTGGATGGCTTTGCACAAATGGGTTTCCCTAACTGCGGAGGGGCAAAAGATGGGACACACATTCCAATTCTGGCACCAGACCACCTAGCCACCGAGTACATTAATCGCAACTTGGTCACCTGAGGGCAGGGCAGTAGAGTTCAAACCGATGGCCAGAGAGGTGAGAACAGAGATTGTGGGACACCTCCCAGAGGCCAGTCGCAGCTCTGTAATTGCCAGGGTGTCTGCACTGGCACTGCAGGGCTGTTGCCCCAGCGCAGAAAGCTCTACGCCTCTCGTCGGGGTGGGTTTTTTTAGTGTGCTGCATCTGTGCAGTTTCTGTGCACTAAGTGGCTGGGCAGTGTGTAACCGCGGGAGTTACAGCACTCAGAGCTGCTTTACTGAGCACAAAGTGTAGACGGGGCCTAAAAGGGGTGGTCAGAGACAAAAAGACATCTTTGAAAAACTGGAAGTCAGATCCTACTGAGGAAAACCAAAAGGAATTTAAACTCTGGCAAGTCAAGTGTAGAAGTATAATTAGCCAGGCCAAGAAAGAATTTGAAGAGCAACTAGCAAAAGACACAAAAACTAGTTGCAAAATATTTTTAAGTACATCAGAATCAGGAAGCCTGACAGACAATCAGTGGGGCCACTGAACAATCGAGGTGCTAAAGGAGCAATCAAGGAAAACAAGGCAGTTGCAGAGAAGCTAAATGAATTCTTAGCATCAGTCTTCACTGGAGAGGATGAGTGGGAGAATTCCATATCTGATCCATTCTTTTTAGGTGACAGATCTGAGGAACTGTCCCAGACAGAAGTGTCAATAGAGGAGGCTTTGGAACACATTGATAAATTACGGCCCTACTGGGTCAGACCAAAGTCTATCTATCTCAATATCCTGTCTACCGACAGTGGCCAATGCCAGGTGCCCCAGAGGGAATGAACAGAACAGATAATCATCAAGTGATCCAGTAGTAAGTCACTAGGACTACATGGTATTCACCCAAGAGTTCTGAAGGAACTCACATATGAAAGTGCAGAACTACTAACTGTGGTATGTAACCTGTCACTTAAATCAGTCTCTGGACCAGATGACTGGCGGACAGCTAGTGTAACGCCAATTTTTAAAAAAGGCTCCAGAAGCAATTCTGGCAATTACAGGCCAGTAAGCCTGACTTCAGTACCAGACAAATTGGTTGACACTATAATAAAGAACAAAATTATCAGACATGTAGATGAACATGATATGTTGTGGAAGAGTCAACACAGCTTATACAAATGGAAATTATGCCTCATCGATCTGTTAGAAATCTTTGAGGGTGTCAGACAAACGTGGACCAGGGTGAACCAGTGGATATAGTCTACTTGGACTTTCAGAAAGCATTTGACAAGGTCCCTCACCAAAGGTGCTTAAACAAGGTAGGCAGTCATGGGATAAGAGGGAAGGTTCTCTCATGGATAAATAGCTGGTTAAAGATAGGAAAGAAAGGGGTAGGAACAAATGGTCAGTTTTCACAGTGGAGAAAGGTAAATAGCGGTGTCCCCAAGGCTCTGTACTGAGAGCAGTGCTATTTAACATATTTGTAAATGATCTGGAAGAAGGGTGGCAAAGATTGCAGATGATACAAAATTACTCAAGGTAGTTAAGTAAAAAGCTGATTGCAAAGAGTTACAAAGGGATCTCACAAAACTGGGTGACTGGGCAACAAAATGATGGATAAAATTCAATGCTGATAAATGCAACACTGGAAAACATAATTCCAACTATACATATAAAATGATGGGGTCTAAATTAGCTGTTACCACTCAAGAAAGAGATCTTTGAGTCATCATGGATAATTCACTGCAAACATCTGCTCAATGTGTAGCAGCAGTGAAAAATGCCAGAAGAATGTTAGGAACCATTAGGAAAGGGATCGATAATAAGACAGAAAATATCATATTGCCTCTATATAAATCCATGGTATGTCCACACCTTGAACACTGCTTGCAGTTCTGGTTGCCCTATCGCCAAAAGGATATATTGGGATTGGGAAAAGGGCAACAAAAATGATTAAGGATGTGGAGCAGCTTTCTTATGGGGGGAGATTAAAAAGACTGGCACAGTTCAGCTTAGAAAAGAGATGGCTACGGAGGAGCGGGGATATGATAGATCAGGAATGGTGTGGAGAAAGTCAATAAGGAAGTGCTGTTTACCCCTTCCAGTAATACAAGAACCTGGGGTCACCCATTGAAATTAATAGGCAGCTGGTTCAAAACTTCTTCATGCAATACACAGTCAACCTGTGGAACTCCTTGCCAAGGTTATGTTGTGAAGCCAAAAGTATAACTGGGTTCAAAAAAGAACTACATAAGTTCATGGAGGATAGGACTAGACGACAGGGGATGGATCACTCGATAAGATGGCTTGTTCTGCTCATTCCCTCTGAAGCATCTGCCATCAGCCACTGTCAGAAGACCGGACACTGGGTTAGATGGGCCATTGGTCTGACCTAGCCTGGCTGTTTGTATGTAACAAGGCAGAATGGGAAGGGCTGTGGTGAGCTCTCGGAGAAGGGGAGCGCATGGCTCCCTGGCTTTCCCACTCCTGGCAGCTTTAACGTCTCAGGAGTGCTCCAGCGTGTCCCACAGTTTCCTCAGTGCTGCCCCGTCAGGGCAGCAACCTCTCTAAGCACCGCCTCTTGCCATATTGCATCCACACGCAGCAGGAACAGGATCCGTACACTGCCCCGACGCAGGGTGGGCTGGCAGCGACCATCAGATGGGAAGGGGCCAGGAGGGCAAGGCTTGGTGTGCAGCTTCCCAGGTGCTTTATGGATTGGCAGGAGGGGCCAGCGAGTGCTAGTCAGGGAGAAAGGAGGTGGGGAGGAGAGAGGAAGACAAGAGGGGGCATTGAGCCAAATTCCTCCTTGCTGTAACTCTACTGATGCCCCTGAAGTTGCACCAGAGATTAATATATTCTGGGGTAAAGTCCTTCAGGCCAAATGGCTTCCCGCCTCAGCTATACACGCACTGCCCATCACCGCTCTTCGTGCATTACGTACAGGCACCGGGGGGTGGGGGGTGTGGAACAATTTTTACAGCGGGAGTGCTGCTGATGGAAACTATGTATTTGGTGTTTGGCGGGGGTGGAGTGCGTCAGTCCCCCCCCCCCCCAGCCCCCTAGTTCCAGCATCACTGGCAGACACTGCGTGGCTCATTCCAGCGGCACAGGAAGGGTGTCACTGCAATGCCAGGGACAATAGGTTTACCCTGCCCCAGGGCCCACGGGAGTCGCGAGCTCGACACCGTGGCAGATATTGCCTTGCTGTGGTGCTGATGGATGGCCCCCTAGCTAAGATTGTAATTGAGACCCATTTGCGACTCGTAATTTATAACATTAACCATGAGAGCACATCTTCCCTGGAGCAAGCGACTGCTGCGGGCCTCCCTTAGGACTCACAGACACACACTAGTTGGACCAGTTTAACGTAAATCAGTTAAAAAGCCAGTGTAGTAAAACTGGTGCAAGCCCCTGTGTGGATGCTCTTACATCAGTTTAAAACTGGAGATATCAGTTGACTTGCACCTGCACACTTCCTGATGCTGCTGAAGTGATCTGAGAGTGTCCACACACATCAGTTTAAAATGCACTGTTAGTTAAACCGGAGCAACTCTGTGCAGAGAGATGGCTGTAAAGCAATAACCAACTCCAGCTAAATCAAACAGCAGCCCCTTTCATGCCACGCTGACTTGCACCAAAATAACAAACTGGGGTTTAAGTCACCCCCCTGTGTTATTTCCATGCAAGTTTGTGTACGGACCAGGCCTCAGCCCCTGTGAGATGCAGGCTCCCCCCCTTGAGAGGCAGGGTAAGTACTGCTGAGTCACGCTGGCAGGTGGGCCCAATTGACTTTCACCAGGCTCTAAAGAGGGTGCGGCCTGGCTCACTGGGCTTGAGACAAGCAGAGGGTTTTTGCAGGAAGGGCTGAGGGTGAGCTACAGTCTCCGGGATCTGCCAATCTCAGGCAGGAAGTTTAGGCTGAAATGCTCTTATTGGTTTGAGTTACCAGCACGGCCCGTCCTCGGAAAGCTTGGTCACTAGCGCCGAGTCCGTGTGCTTTGTTCAAGAGGGGGCAGGGGCTTGGCCCATTCATAATTCCTGGAGCGGAAACTTCCCTTTTCAGTTTCCTGGGTGCACTCGCCAGCCCTCAGCGCAGTGAATTTTCCTGGTTCACCTGCCGCCCCTGTGGCTATTCTACTCCATGCACCTGCCTCTGTTCTCTTCCACACACTCTGTAGCCACCGCAGGCTCTCACGGGCCACACCTGCCTCTCCTGCTCCCTGGCCTAGAAGCTGCAGGTTCCTTAATGGAAATCTGGAACAGGGCTGCAGGTTGTTACAAACCCAGAGCCCAGTAGGTCTCCCTTGAGCTACGGGCTGGGGGCCAGCTTTGGGGAACATAAGATCACCGTGTTCCTGCAGAGTCGGAGGAACCAGTTCCTGCTCCGTGCTCAGTACGGGACGGGGGAACCGTCAGTCCAGCCAGTAGAAAAGCTGGGTGCAGAGGAAGCAAACTTAGAAATGTTCCCTATCTGACAGCAAGAGAAAGGGGCGTATCTTTCCAGTCAGGCTCCTTGTGGGATTGGTTAGGCACTGACCTGGAAAGACACAACAGCCCCAGCCCCTGCCCTGAGGAGCTTACACAGTCAGGGACTGAGCCACATGTCAAACCGTTACCTTATGCCTTGGGCGTGGTAACAATCCCACGCTACCCCCCCTTCTGCACTGCTTACCCTGCGCCAGCTTCTCCCTAAACAGCTGCTCCTCCCCTGCCCTTTGGGTGCCTGCGAACAACAGGGGCATGTTACGCACAGACAGTGACATTCTGCATCGCGAGAGGGAGTCAGAGAAGAAAAGCATTTCATACATACTTCGTCTTTGCCTCTTGCCCTTCACCACCTTGCTGCTGCCTGTCAGATCCATCAAGCTTAGAAAAACCACCACCAGAAACAGTCCAAGCTGCATAGTAACTTCCCAGTGCCTAGACTGCAGGGTGATCGAGAGTCCGTTCCACAGCGTGGTGTCTGGGTTTGCTCCTGCTAGTGTGTCTTGGGCTGGATCAGGACTGAAAGTCTGTACACGATGCCTGGTACGGGACCATATCCACACACCATAATATCAGCCACAGAAAACTTAGGTAGTAGGTAACATGAGTCTACCTTCAACCCCATAAGGAGCACCGGAGCGTGGATCTAGTCCCATCTGGGGGCTCCCACGCCGTGAGCGTTAGCTGCTTGTAGCTTCCAAACACCCCCACACAAACTGGAAGGGAAAAGGAACAGATTAACCTTATGGAATAATCAATGTTATTTTACGTCTCGTGCATAAACCGCTCAGCGGGACGCTGCGAGAATTGATATACAAGTGCAGGATGAAATAGCAGGCCGGGAGGAATAACAACATCACAGAGCCCTGGGAGGGCAGAAAGGGGCGGGGTCAGGCAGCAGATCTGCAGGGAGGAGATTGACAGGTAAAATTACTTCACAGACATATCTGGAAGTTCCTGTTTGCTTAAAAACTAATAGCAACCTATTTCCTTTGAGAACGTTAACATGACTGAGTGCAGTTTTTACACTGAATAAGGGCTGGCCTATTTCTAGCTAGAATGTACTTAAAGTGCTGCCAGTCCCGATCGCTGCTCGTCTGACGGCGAGCAGCTTGTAGGCTGCCAGCTTCAGAGATGTCTCCAGTCAAGTGGGCCTCATTGAATGTCTAGTGACTTAAGCAGCTATTGATGTGATTGTAGCTACTGTAGGGACAGTGCTGCTCATCCTCCCTCGCACAGACTAGATACGATTGTCCCAGGTCAGAACCACAAGCCAAAATTTCCTGCACAACAAAATTAAAAAAAGCCCCTGGAAATAGCAAAATGACTCTTCTGGCACGTGTCAGTCAGCTTTGCCCAGGACAAGGCACAGGCCCCACGTTTTCCCAGCCGTAAAACATTGTCATTACCTGGAAAGTGTCCGAGATCATCCATTTTTTATAAATCGGAAATAATTGATAAATTCACCAAACCGTGCGCAGGAGTTGTCATTTTAGGGCTGTCTCCTGCCTTCGCTCTGCTGCTACTGTAGATCCAGCCAGCAGAGGAAGCCCAAGTTAATTAACAAAGACTATTCTCACAGCTGTGCTGACGTCACTGCAATGAACAGTGATGTACCAGTCGGGAAGCAATGGTGGCATGTGCGGATGGACAAATCAGGGCAAGAGCAACTCTGACAAAAAGCAAATTGTTCTGTGCCATTGTTCTAGGGGGGTAAAGAGAAATGAGAGAAAATGTCTGTGTATAGGGTGACCAGATGTCCCCATTTTATAGGGACAGTCCCGATTTTTGGGTCTTTTTCTTATATAGGTACCTATTACCCCCACCCGCGTCCCGATTTTTCACATTTGCTGTCTGGTCACCCTATCTGTGTGTGTGACAATGTCCCTATAGGAGAAAAGGGTGCCAGCAATGTCTGTAATAGGGGATTGGAAGTCAGGGCCCCTGGGTTCTCATCTGCCTCCGCCACTCATTTGCTGTGTAACCTCTGAACAAATCTCTTACTTCTTTGTGCCCCATTTCTTCTATCTGTAAAATGGACTTAATATATTACTACTTGTATTACAGTGATGCTCAACCAAGTACAGGCCCCCCTTGAGCTACTGGTGCACACACATATTGTAAGAGACAGCCCCTACCCCAAAGACCTTACAACCTAAATAGACAAGGCAGAATTATTATTCCTGTTTTGCAGCTGGGTAATTGAGGCACGGAGCGATTAAGTGACTTGCCCAAGGTCACACAGGGGTCTGTGACAGTGACGCCTGATGTCCTTGGTCCTGGACCAGTGCCTTAACCACAAGACACTTTTCCACTCCAGTAATACTGATGTGCCCTAGAGCAGATTAATTCATTCATATTTGTAACACTCTCAGGAACATGGGAATTGCCAGACTGGATCAGACTCTGGGTCCATCTAGGCCTGTGTCCTGCCTCTGACAGGGGCCAACACCAGCTGCTTCAGAGGAAGGGGTAAGAAACCTGCAGTAGCAGGTGTGGGATAATTTGCCCTCATGAAGGTCCCTAACTCCTAATAGTTAGAGATTGGTTTAAGCCCTGAAGCCTGGAGGTTTATCTCCCTTCCAATACCCTTCTTTCAGCACTAACCATAATGACTCTGGACATTCCTGCCCTCCAGGTAAATGCCTAATTGCGCATTGAAGCTTGTTAAGTTTCTAGTCTCAGTGGCATCCTGTGGCAGCGAGTTCCATGGTCTAACTGAAGATCTGGATGACCCTTGAACAAAAGATGTTGAAAAAGAACAACGTGTTTTCATGATAAAAGCCGTTTCCTTCCAGCTCTAGCACGACACTTCCCAGAATGAGCAATGACGGATAAAAGGGGGAAGCTTCAGGATTTGAGGTGTGATCAACAGCTACAGAGTTTGCAAACAAACCTAGCAACCGTGCAGAACTGGCAGCGTTGGCCTGGACTCCAGACATATGCGCACTGCCCAGACAGTGCAGCCAAGGGACCAATGTGCTGCTTCGCTTTGGGAATGATCGAGGAGGTGATTTTTCTGTGTATTGTGTGTCTGGGAGGAAGCGAGACATCCCGGCTAAATAGAAAACTCTGACACAGCTCTTCTGGCAATGCAAAACCCCACCAACTGCAGCCATTGTGTGTGAATAAAGGGGACAACATTCATGCTGTGAGGTCAAATGAAACAGAAAATGATTTTAATCCCTTTAAAATAACTCTGCATCGCCGATGCTCCCAGGGCCAGTCTAGATGGGTCTGGAACTCAGTGGGGGCTGCAGTAAGACCCCCACATAGCTGGAAATGGGCTTGTGCTGATTCTAAACCGCTAGGAGCTTGGCACGGAGAGTGTCCCCACCCCCCATGGTACCAGGATCTCTCACACGCTGAGGGGAAGGGGCTTTCCGCAGAGTTTGTACACTGGGACCCCAGGTGCTTGGCTGGCGTAAATTGGTGCAGCTCCATCTGCACCAGCTGAGGATCTGGCCGTAGGCCTCCAAAATGAGTCTGCAAACAGTTCAAGCCACGTGCCATGCTGCTAATCTCAGCTATGCAGCAATCTGCCGGTGCCTCCTACAGTTCAGCGTGGCAGCCTCTCCCTCCCTCCGCGGGTCAGCCGGGAGCAGCCAGCGGGCTGTTTACCGCGCTCAGACTTTGGCTTCAGACCAGCACTTGCAAACCCAGCATCGAATCCCACTAGCATGCAGGTACCAACCAGCGACAGCCGGCCAGGGGAAGAGGGCTGGACAGATCTTGCAAACCCGTGCTGGCATTATCCATAGGAGGGGGTCATCGCTCTGGTTCCCCACCCCAGGGACTTCTCCTGGGAGCTTGTCTTGGCTTGGAGACACACTGGCTGAGGAAGAGGATTCTGATGGTCATTCCTGTCACTGCCTCCCGGCCCATCACCACAGTAGCCAAGAGCTTAGAGAAACTGTATCTCCACTGCACTCCTCTGGGCATTAAACCCACTGCTTTAAAGTATCACTTCTTGTGCAATCCCGCTCCCGTTACCCCAGGCCGGCTTTGGCGTGCCGAGAATCCACAGCCCTGCTAGTTCCTCTAGGCCAGCCCAGTGCATTTCCGAGTCTTTTGTCCCAGCCAGTGTCCGATGTCCCAGCCCAGGCAATGAGGTTTTCGTCCATGATCTTGAGACCTGAGCCAAAGCCCAGTGCAGTCGGTGGAAGTGCCTCAGGGCCTTTGAGAACAGTTCTGGGCCCGCTGAAGTCCTTTACCCGCCTCTCACTCCCTGTGGCTTAGCCTGCCTCCAGCTGGAAGGAACAGATACACTCTTACGCAGCAGCTGAGGGTGAGAATGTGCCTCAGGGCCAGTGCCGGGGAATATTCAACTCCACTGCTGAATACAGGCCCCATGGCCAAGAGGAATTCTGGGCTAGCTGCTCTGGGCACTCAGCATGAGAGGAAGGAAAGAGGTCTCTGGCGATGCCCAGGATGGGGGAGATCCCCCTTGGCAGAGGGCCAGGGCAGGGCCAGCACTGAACAGAGGAGCTGGATTCAGGAAAGTGTGCCCCTCCCCTGCTCTAAGAGTGTAACAACCCTGAGCACTGGCTGGCAGTAGGATTTGAACCCAGCACCAAACTACAGGCCTCTACCACTCGAGCTGAAGGAGTAAGTCCTGTTAGCTGGTGGCGGTAATAGACCCATCATCCTCTAATGGACCAGCCGCTAGAGGGGGACATGACCCCTATCTTGCCCATGTGTTGCGACAGCACATCTCCGATTGAGGTGCTCATGCTAAAATGGAAAGCTAAGGGCTGCTTTGGTTGCAGCACAATGCTGAGGCCTGTGAACTATTTCTCACACGCCGGGCAAAGGGTCATTGCCATCCTCCTAGCCCCGTGACTTTGAGCTTCACCACGGCCCTGCTGTGGCCCCCCGAAAGCTGCCCTGGCAGGAGCACAGCGCTTCCCATGTGCTTGTCGTTAGATCCTGCAGCAGCACCCAGAGGGGGTTCAAAGAAGTAGTTAGTCACTTGGGTAAACACCAACTTGTGCTGTGCTTTGAAGGCTGTTTGTTGCAGGCTGCTTTATAAACATTGTCAAGTGCTTCCGTGAGGCCGAGGAGTGTTTCCCAACGTGGGGATGTGTGCAGGGGAGGCGCGATCCCCTTCCCCCTGGCCCGGACTGACCCACACACGAAGAGAGGGCGTGCACGGTCACGTGGCGCAGCGTGGACATCCAGCTCTGGAGCAGAGGAGGATTGTGGCTGAGTTTGGGCCCTTCTGCAGCAAAGTGCACGTCCTATACACTTGTCCTAATCTGCAATCACCTTCCCAGCTGCCTGGGGGTGAACAGCAGCCAGCAGTTCCCAACACCTGCAGCCAGGCGCTTCCCAGCCCCAAAGCTTTGGACTGGTCCGAGTGTTCTCATTTTACTCCATAGGGCCCAGGCAAGGCTCACAGAGCTCATCGGAGAGGCAG